AATACATATTTAACAGTATAAGCTATGCATATTTTAAAATATAAACTTAATCTAAACAAACTTTGATATTAAAATAAATGTATATTAACAAATTCGTTACAAGTTGCACCTTTACTGCGGTGCATTTTAAAGTAAATTAGTATTTCCAATACTTGAGTCAATGTCTTTATCAGTTATTTTGTTCCAAACTGAGAAAACATGCCATTATGTAGGAAAAACAACAATTCCATTATTCTTAAAACTCGGATACTACTCAAGTGACTGATGGTCACTTTGTGGTATTCTCAGGGTAAATTGATTTTCACACAAGTATCAGATGGTTGCACTTTATAATGGAAGATTTATGTAGGATAATTACAAAGTAAATCTTAATTGAACTAAATTATCGAGTTTAAGCTACGAAAATACATAGACTGGACACGTGGAGCAAAGCGTAAAACAATATATTTTTCTAGAGGTTACAGCCTTTGTATGTTGTAAGTAAACAAGCTGTCATATTGGACAGTTAGTTACCTTCCTACCAGATTATTGAATCAATCAATCTTGCAAAACGTCTTTCAGGCAGTCATCTCATTTTGTGAACAGAGTAGACTCGCTATATTCTGAAAAACCCAATGCTCCACACCAAATAAAAAACTTCAGTTTTACCCATAAGCGACACGTGCCACCATATGACAGCTTGTTTACTTACAACATACAAAGGCTGTAACCTCTAGATATAATGTACTCGGCAAATGAAGGACATGTTGATGATTTATCCTACACAATTTGTGAAATCACGGCAATATTCTCCATTTGCAAAGTAGATGCTATCTGCTAGAACACAACAAAGAAACTAAGGCAACTAGAATGAAACGTCTCAACGGTTTTTCGACCACGTATTTATAGTAAAACTGTATAAAAACAAAATAAAATAAAAGTTAAAAAAAATCTTATATTGATAATAGATTATGGAAAACACATAATATGCTTGTTTACCACCACTCTTAATACAAAACAAGGGATGTTATATCTCTGGGCCATCACATGATTTACCAATTGAAAATATAACTAATAATTTCTATACACTATGCTCAATGTTACAGCAATCTTTCCCCCGAGAAATTACACGTGCTACCCCAGTTAAATGATCTAGTTCTGTGATTAATAAGAACCGATTTTAACCGCATTTCACATTATAAACACATGCTCAACATGCACAGAAAGTTTGAAAATCGAATATATTGTTTGTGTGTTTGTTTGTTATGGATTTCGCGCAAAGCTACACGAGGGTTATCTGCACTAGCCATCCCTAATTGAGCAGCATAAGACTAGAGGGAAGGCAGCTAGTCATCATCACCCACCGCCAACTCTTGAGCCAACGAATTTTACCAACGAATAGTGGGATTGACCGTTACATTTTAATGCCCCCATGACTGAAAGGGCGAGCATGTTTGATGTGAAGGGGATTCGAACCCATGACCCGCAGATTGCGAGTCGAGCACCCTAACCACTGGCCATGCCGGGCCTCGTATATATTAACAAGGAATGTAAGTTGTTTCTTTGTTGAATTTCTACTCAAGGGAATGTGCGCTAGCCTTTCCTAATTTAGAAGTGATAGACTAGAGAGAAGGCAGCCAGTCAATACCACCCAGCAACAACTCTTGAGGTACTCTTTTACTGACGTAAAGTGGGATTGAACATCACATTTTAATTAATGCCACCACGGCTGAAAGGGCAAGTGTATTCAGAGATGGGATTCAAACTTGTCACCTGCAAATTGCAAAGGGGTATGAAACACAGAGTATGCTTCCATACCAAATGATTTTTTACATTTACTCTTATAGAAGGACAAATGTTAGCGATTAAAACATCAATATCATTTAATATTGTGAATGTGAATATTTTCTACATCTTGTTGAAATAGCTTTATTATGTTTGTTTCATGTCTTTGGAGATTTTAATTGATGATATTGCTTTATATCAGTTTTATCTCTAAATCTTAATTTATTAGCTTTTATCACGCCTCTAAAATTTGTTTTAATTTTGCTAATACCCTTAGATACTTGTAGTTAACTTACCCACTACTGTAGCATTTGCTGCACATAAAGAATAAATGTTGGAATTTATTTCAGCAAAGCTGTATAACACATAAAATATAAATATAAATAGAAAAATAAATAAGGGACAGAAGACAATTCATTTTCATTGAGGTAACGTTTTCCACTCACTAAAAGACCACTTCAAACTAAATATAACATTTAGCGTCTGTATGGCTACTTACCAAAATTTTAATGGAATAGAAATTAATAAGTTGTGATTCCAACAACAAAAGGGCAAAAAGTTTGAGTAAAATTTCCATTCCTACAATTCCACAATTCGTTGTACAAAAGAAATTGTTGTTTCTTTGTAATTAAGCACAAAGCTACATAATGGACTATCTTTGCTCTGTACACCACGGGTATCGAAACCCAGATTCTAGTACAGACATAACGCTGTGCCACAGGGGGGCAAAATTGTTGATAATTCTACTTCTGTGTTTTGAGTAACAATCTATAAAAATATTAAATAATGGTGTGATATGTGACTTCTACGTTGTTATAGTGGTATAAAAATATTAATTTTTAGTTACTTAATTTCCGCGCTGTCTTGGTGGCAACACATGCTATGGAACGTCGTGTACTTTGCTTCATTCTAATTGCATTGGCGTTTGTTCCTTAGTAGGTGGCTTTCCATCTTCCTCAAGGATGTTTCAATATTCTATATAGAATGTGGTTTGAAGGGGTTAGCACTGAAATATCATTCACTCGCCACTTATGACAATGGTTATAATTGACAGACAACTGATGCTATCAGGGAACATAGATTACGAGGTGATACTGTTCACTGGACAAAAAAAGCGATTTTACATTCTAGATTCGAGTGAGCTTTCTTAGCTCAGAATTACACTAGACAATAAATGAAGAAGATATACTACTTTGAAGATTTGAGTGTTTGGCTTTGTAGACATCGATCATGAGAGGAAGAAGACCGATATATATCAAAAGTATCAACTACCTAGTAGAAGAGGGCTGTCCTATCATATGTAAGAGTGTACGAGCTGTATCAGTGATTCTAATTTATCAGCACACTAAAGATATTTAGTCATTTTAGAAATAAAATCGTCTAGTCTCCTTATTCTACTCGAGAAACACTCAGTCAGTTATTTTCTTATAAACATCCTCAATATTCGTGAGCTAATCTGCTGCTATTGTGGGTCCGTCTATCTTATACTTATAGGGAAATCAGTTATATGAGAATATCACAATGGGCCACTTTGCCCAAGTGGGTAGTGTGCACAAACTGTGAATCCAAATATTTATTGTTCACGTCCCATTGCCACTTTTTTGGTCCTATAAGAATTATGACCAAATTCCACTAGTCAGTCGTGTAAGAGTAAAAAATTGGTGGTGGGCGCTGTTAATAAGATGTATTCCATTAGAGACAATTATGTACAGACAGCTCTTTTTGTAGCTTTGTGAAAATATTCTAAAAACAAAAGGGAAAAATCAAAACAAATATTTTATTGGGAAAACATATCTACTAGTCCAATTTAAATGTATTTTCAAATCAATATTTAAGTTAAAGATCTTTTTCATCTCCACCCAAAACATTATTTGTAGTATGTATCTTTTATTTGTCTCGGTTGTGGTAAGGAATACATTGAATCTACGACTAGATCACTCCCCCATTCATTTAAAAGAACACACATAGGACAAATAGAAATACTTTTCCAGTACTGTTATAAGCAAGCAGGTGTTAATCGACTTATAATGCTGGATGATATTGTTACGACAGCGGAAGTCACGCGATCCTGGGAGAATGCGTGCTGGAGTTTCTCGAAGGATCATGAATTTTCCTGCCAGCTCGAGTGTGATCTAGATGCCCTCTTTTTTTAGTATTGTCTACAGTTACTCTCTCGTTTACTTTTTCAAAATTGCATACCTCCTCTGCATTAATTTCCAATTTTCTCAAGTTAAGCCCATATTCCTATACCACGATCGGAGTGAGGGAGGATTGCTTAATCTTCGAACACCCCAGATTAGTAATTATTTCTTCGGAAATAATTATTTTTAAATCTAAATAACTGCCATGAAAAACGAAAAACGACCAGTGGCTGATAATAATTGAGCCAAGCGAACAGTAGGCACTGTAAGTAAAGTGTGTCATAAAAGTTGTTAAATGTATTACAAAGTTTGTATCAAGAAAGAATAAACTCCCAGCGTCGCGTGACTTCCGGTGTCGTAACAATAATTACATGACTAACAACTTAACGTTTGTTTTACATGAACAATAATGAATTCAATATCCTTACGTAACCACTAGGGTAACTTCATGTTGTATATTATATATCCAAATTATTCGTTTAAAACAACTAAAAACATAGTTGAACCAAACGATAGAATGAAAAATACCTAAACGATAAAATAAATGATAATCAAAATTGAAATTGTTACCTCACACAAATGGCTACTGCTGAGCATTTAGTACCAGAGGATTTGTGCAGCGTAGTAAATTTTTTCATATTTGTTTTTCATTGAACTTTAGTCAAAACTTAATTAAAAGAAGCCTACAACATTACTTGACAAAACAGCGAAATCTTGACTTACGTACTTCTGCAAAAGTTCCACAAATAGAAGAACAGCTAAGCCTACATCTTTATATTCATTGGCACCTAATAAATAGTGTTCAAATTCAATAACAGACGGCGAAACAAGCAAGCCACACTCAACTCGGTCTATATGTCTTTAGTTTAGGCATCTTTACTCGTTCATCGTGTTTTTTTCCTTCAAATTGATCGTATAACTTCAAGTTCAACTTTCAAATTCAAGGGCATTAGGTAAAACTATTTTCTAAATTATACTAGTACCAGGGCACTGTATTCTAAATTTAAAATTTAAGTGGAGTTTTGCATTTATTGATTATTTTGAAGCACTTTTAGAAAATACCCTCCCAGCACATTCTTGTCGATGGGTTTTAGAAGAACATGGTTTGTACTCTCCTACATCAGGATTTACAACAAACTGTGCAGAAACGTTCGACACCACAGTGTCCTGAAAAGAATGACTGAGCACAAAGAATTAAGGCTGGAAGAACTACTGTTAAGTGATTATTTCCTGTCTGTGTATTACCACTGTGAGATTTTGCGTGGATTGTGTAGCACTGGTAGTTTACATCTAAGGAAGTGTGAAGATCAGTTGAAGTTGTTTTCCCATGTGATTGTGTTAGCCCTGATAATATTGTTGCTATTGTGCAAATAAGTTTTTTAACTTACAATGCTGAAGAAGAAACACTGAATGATAAACGTGCTATAAAATTAAAAATATGAGAAGGACTTGCCTAATGGATTATAAAAAAATTGACTTATCATTCTTCAGAGTCAACTAAAGTATTTTACTTGACTGTACAAGGACTTTCCAATGAATTTCATAGTGTACAATTATATCCAGTAGAAAAGTGTATGTGCTCATCAACAAGATCCTGTTATTACACAGTAGCAGCTCAAATGTCCAGAGGGAAACATGAAACATGTTTTTAAAACACTAAAATTTAAGACAACTGAAAAGAAAATGGTGGAAAAGAAACAGAGCCAGTAGAAAGAGGCCACATGTGAAGGACAAGATACATTGTGAGTACAGCATCAGGTTCAATAGAAGCTAGTCTCATAACTCGGTTGTCAGATCATGAAGAGATTGTAGATGATCCTAAGTCATATATACACATAGAAGCAAAAGACCAAAAAATAAAATAAAATCACAAACTGAAGCTGATGCCCACTGAACTTAACACACTTTCAGGTAATTCTGAAGGGTAGAACACCAAGCAGTTTTTACCAAGGAATAATTCAACCAAGGCTGACTTCTACACCAAAAATATTTGAAATGCATTTAAATAAAAAAGGTTTCCCCCAAGATTTGGAATTCCCAACCATAAATGGCGACCATTGTCAATCTTTGACATGAGTTGGTGAAATTGATGTTTTCATTGAAGATTTAGATTCATTGTGACCAGAAGAGTGGGTAACTGATATTGTGATTGATGCTTTTCTTACAGTTGTGTCCGATTCAACTGAATGTAATCAACATTTTGCCAATTTCATGCAGTGGTTTGAACACAAACAAAAAAACCTATGGGTTTTCTGAAATGAGCAGAAACAATTTCATTCATTTTGACCTTCGTCTCATCCCAGCTAATGTGAAGGCATGTCGCTGGATTTTGTTTGGGGTGATTAAAATATGAAAACAATAATTTATTTAGATTCTATGCATGGGGAGCACACGCAACTGTTTAATATAATTTTTATGTTTTTCTTCGTCCATTCATCAGTCCCATGAGAAATTCCTGATTGTGAAACATTGACAGTTTTTTTCTCCAATTTACTATACTCATTTTTGGCATTTTTTGTTTGTTTATATGCATGAATTATGTGTACAGGTAGCCAGTCTTTATGATATCGCTATCCATTCAAACATAGATAGCCTACAAAATTTTTAACCATCTGGAAATTTGCTCTGAATATAAACAAGCAAGATTGTTTCATACTACCAATGCTAGAGAGAGAAAGGCTACCAATACTTATAGTATACTTTGTACCGTAGGGATATATAAAATAATGCATTGAAAATAGACAATGTTGGAAATTATAATAATTTAAATAAATAAGCATCGTTTTGGGTAACTAACTACTCATCGTTGTGCTTACCTAGAGTTTATAATCGTGACAGCAAAATATTCTGTTGATGACTACTTATTTATTGAATATTGTTGTTAAGTTTATCATATTCCAAGAACACAGACAAAAAGTATATCTAGATATAACTATTTTGACCAAGAATGTTGTTACCTAGCCTGAGCTTATACTATTTGAAAAGGTCAGTTTGCTGATAAATGTTTATTAGTTTGCGAGTTTAATTTTTTATGAATTACAGTTTATAGCCAAAAATAGTTACTACTGTAATTGGCAATATAAAGTTGAAAATGAAGTATGATAATGAAATTCAATCTACTTTAAATTGACTAGATATAGAACATGGAGCTTTTTAATAAAAAGTTTCGTTATTAATGAGGAATATTTTATTACAAGTTACAGCTTGTAATAAAATAATATATCTAATAAAAAATATTTTTAAAAACTTGTAATTGTAAAAAAGGGAGTATTTTTAATGTTGTATGATTCTTTAAATGTCTCACTTTACTCATTTTCCATATATTAACCTACTAAGTAAGACTGTCCAAGGCTTTCTATGTTAACCCTTTCCTGGGGTGGATATCCCTTGAATTCTTCCTTCTTACAACAGAATTACTTAGCAAAATTGCATAAAGCTTAATAAAAACTTACTAAATAGAATCCAGTTTTGGTTTAAAAAACATAATAATGAGTTGATTAAATTTTTCTTTAAAAAAGTCATATAATTCAGTTTACGTTTTTATGTTGGAAAATTTGCCAAAAACCTTTTGCAAGACTTTTATGAAAAAAAAAAGTAAATGTATATTATTTTTTATTTATGTGGGAAAAATATCTGCTGTAGAGAGTAAGAAAAATTTTAGTGTGATGACTAATAAAAGTTAAAATCTAAGTATTTTGCTGAATGTTGAGAAGTTCTTGAAAAAGTATATATACTTCTTGTACAGTAGTTCCCAACCTGGTGTCTGAGAAGGTAATACAATCTCATTAAACAAGTAAGTTTTTTAATACTGCTGTTTTTTAATTGCACACTCCATTATTTATGTCTTTTATTTGTTTGTGAGAAATGGGAAAATGAGTTAATAAAAACAGTTTGTTGGGTAGATGGAATCTAAAAAACATGGGATTCGTGAGGAAAAAAATAAAAAGTGTCCTTGGTGTGAAAAGGTTGGGAACTACTGTTCTAGTACCTCTTGAAAAACATTTTTTAGATCTCAAGTAGGAAGATTAATTTAGGGAGGCCTCCTTTAGAGTTGAGTGTTTATTTTTGGCCATTTATTATTAAAAGATCTAAATTTAAGAGTGAAGTATAGAAGAATGCATAACGATACATCTATCACAATGAATCTGCCATATCCGGTGCAAGTGAGCCTTTTCACTCAGTACCAGGACTCATGGCAGCTGGGTTATAACCATTTCAGTAGTCATTAAGATGCTCTTTTATATTGTCAAATTGCATGATGTTTGAGTTTTTCAAATTCTCCAAGGATACAACCTACTAATTTAACTTTGTATCAAATGTTAGTCCACAATAATAATAATGTAATGATGGAAATCTTATGAAAGTATAGACACACAACATCATGAAGAATACCCTCATTCAGACAAGTAAAAGCCTTCTCAAAAACTCCAACAAATTAGTGAAATAAAAAAACTTTTCTAAAACTATTTCTGGGAACTTCTAATCAAACTTCAAACTTAAAGGCACTTTATCAAATGTTCCCATACAAGAAGATGGGCATTTAGTGATATTTATTAATTGATTAATCGAGGGCCCCATTAATCACTTAGTACATTGTTCCTCAAACCATGGTATGTAGAACAAAAAAGAAAAAATTTAACAGAGGTTTATACTAGACAGTTGCAATTGAAGAAAAAAAGTTGGTGGCAGGTGCTGACAGCCAATTAATGGCCTTCCCTTTTGTCAGCAGTTCAAAATTAGTGACAGTGGCAGATACCTTTAATAGCTTTGCCTCAACAAAGACAGGCTGAGTAAGTTTGGTGGTGATGGGAGTCAAATTCGAGACCTTCAGATCATGACGCCCCCCCCCCCCCCCCCCCCAAATCACAAAAAAACACAAACTTGTATAGCTTCGTGATTAATATGAAACACAACAGCAATATTTACATTATTTGGATAGTTGGAATAATCGAAGACAGTAATAATTGGAAACTATAATTTTGATTAATGATGCCAATTAATATAATTGTTGCTCTTAAGTAATTCATTAAATTTCCTGACAATGTATTCATTAGCTTACCAACAGCAATAAATTAATTAAGAAGTTACCAAAGTTTTACACAACGTGATGTTAACCTCCCTTTGTCTGAACTCAAAATTTCTGCAACTAGGTTCCAGAATCTCATTTACAGTTTTCATCAGTTCCAAACATTCAAATTTATCCAGATGTGATTGGAAATGTAGACATAGCAGGAGTTTCCGGTGATCATTGTCCTTAAAGCACTAAGGCAAGCTATTTATTCATAATAATTGCAAGGTTTACTCGTTATTTTTCAGGTTAGGTCTTTTATATGTTTTACACAGGTAACACTAAGCGCAATAGGCATTTTTCTTTTGCCTGTAACTTTTTACAGAGGACTGGAGTATTTTGCTTTCAGGAAATTATCATCACATATTATTTAGATAAATATGTGCATTAAGTTGCAGAATGCAAGAAATTATTTTTAACTGTGATATAGTGAATAAAACCTTTTGAGTTGTCTGGGACTTTCTTTTTTTACACGTGAAACAATATTGAGTAAAATAAAAAGCACTTTGGCAAGGAGTCCAGTGGGAGAAACTTTTGTGTTCTTGTTCATAATTCATATCATATACAAAAATCTAAGTTTTAAGGTAACACTGACCCTTAAAACTGGGCAAACTTGCATGCTGAGGAAACACTGTTAAACGCTTCTTATGACCTTCAAGTTGAGCACAAAACAAAAAGGATGATGTCACAATCCCTGAAAGTACACTTACAGTCATATATTTTATATGTGTAATTAATGTGGCAGGGATAAAGAAATACATAACATAAACTGTTTTAACATCATAACTTTAGTTAGGAATGATAAAACCATGATAATTGGTACACATGCTCTTTGTGAACATCCTCATAGCTTTTCTGTAACATTAACGAGCTATGGGCAATCAGTTTTAATTGTTTCCTTCATTAGTGGTAATTAGACTCGTAACAAGACAACTGGTAAAGATTTTTGAATTTTAAAGAAATTTAAGCTATGGAAGAGTGTAATATCAACAAGTATGATAAATTTCATGCTGATATTGGCTTTGATGGTGAAATGGAATGAAAACAAACTAGACTTTTATTTTTAATCACTTACTAATGGTTATTTAGTGAAGATTTTAAGACACTAAGAAACTAAATTAAAAAAAATGTGATTTTTGAAATATTGGGGGTGTGGTCAGTGCTGCCTTAAGTTGAATAAATTAGACACGTTGAAATAATGAATGCTAATATCACTTCATATCACAGGAAAAATTATCAAAGGTCCACATTTACTGTCAAATTGTCACGAAAAGATATTTATGAAGCTTATTGTTGTTTTCTAAACCTGTTTGTAGTAAGATAAAAAATTTGTAACATCGACTTTATATTTTGCTGTGGTTCATTAATCAGGTTGAAATAGTATTGGGGAACACCGGCCCTTCAATATTAACTTGGTTTAAAGAAAATTTATACATATATACTTAAGTTTGCTGTTTTTTTTTCCTTCAATAATATTTGTTATGTTAATATAGAAAACAAGTTTATTGATCACTTATTATTTCAGGTTTCTTGGTAAATCATGTCTGTGACAGTACAGCAAATTCTTGGGGATGCTAAACGACTTGTTACTCGTCTACGTGAGCATGATAATTCGGCTGATAGTCTGATTGGTCAAACTGAGACTTTAAGCAAGCATATAGAATCAATGAAACAGGTTTGGTATTTTACTTGCACGTTATGAAAGTTACCTAACTGCATCACATGGAAGTAATAAATAGCACAATTACACAGATATTGTAGTAGATATACTTGAATAAATTAAATAGTGGAATTACATATAAAGAAATTGGTAAAATTGCTGTAAAGAAAAGAGAAAAAGATGGTCTTCTTCTTGACTATTGGAAGTCGTTTAGTCAAAAAGGCCATTTGGCAGAAATGTTGACCACTGATTTTAGTCATTTATATGTATTTTCTGATTTTACTATGCTGTAGGTGTATTTATTTTATCTCTCAGAAAAAGGTTGATGCACTTAAATTACCAGTTGCACTACATATTAAAGCTCTAGACTGCTGTGGAGTTTCTCAAGTATTAAAATAAAAAAAATATGGTATGTTGCTGTAAATGTAGTTCAGTGAGTATTGAGAGTCAATGAGAATCATCCAACTCTGATGCAATCTTTAATAATAAATATATATATATCAAAAACAACTGTTCATTTGTATTTTTGAAAGTTTTTCATTTGCAAAACATTAGGTGGTAATACGAAATAACGTGATATTCTCATGATATTTTAGTATATGTACTTTTCAGTAAAGCTAATTTGCTACAGTAGCTCTTGGCTAATTGTGATTTTTATAACCCTATCAGTTGAAGAAATGTACAATAATCCAAGTTTGGGTTACATATATGTATAGTATCTTTTTATTATTTAGTATTCATTTGGTTTGTTCATAAAAAGTTATAATTGATAACCTTAACTGATCACTTTGATACTTCTGATTCTGAAGTACACACAGGTTCCATTTTTTCATTGATGTGGTCAAGTTTGTGAATACTTTCTGTATATTTTTTTGCTGTACTTCTCCATACACTTATGACAAGTTTTGTAATTGCAACATATTTTTATAATTAAAAATCTTGAAATGCATTTCTCATTTGGCATCCCGCTAGATCAATTTTCCCTGTATTTGTTATTGCAGTTTTTTTTTTAAGAGAGAAAGTTTAAAAACAAATTCCATACCTTTTACTCACTGAATTCCTGCTTTTCATTTAATATGTGACTAAATGTATTCTATAGGTGGAAAGAAAACTGTATGGTTTTAAACACACTTAATCCTAAAGTAAAATTATATAAATGTGTTTAAAACTATAATCCTAAAGTAAAATTGTTTATAGTTTTAAACACACTTGATCCTAAAGTAAAACTGTGCATAGTTTTAAACTCACTTGATCCTATTGTAAAACTGTGTATAATTTTCAATATGCTTGATTCTAAAGTAAAACCACTTGATCCTAAAGTAAAACCGTGTCTAGTTTTGAACACACTTGATCCTAAAGTAAAACAGTGTCTAGTTTTGAACACACTTGATTCTAAAGTAAAACAGTGTCTAGTTTTGAACGCACTTGATTCTAAAGTAAAACAGTGTCTAGTTTTGAACGCACTTGATCCTAAAGTAAAACAGTGTCTAGTTTTAAACACACTTGATCCCAAAGTAAAACAGTGTCTAGTTTTAAACACACTTGATCCCAAAGTAAAACTGTGTATAGTTTTAAACACACTAGATTCTAAAGTGCTATCTGTGGACAGTTACAAAAGCAATCTGTACTCTTCCGATACGGTACTTCCCTCCACTCTCAAGATTAGCTATTTTTGTCCAGTGCTGCTCTGTATATGTGTGAACATTTTTCTTTATGCATTCCACAAGCCTTCTGCCCCCTCCCTATTGGAATCAAATGATTCCAACATGTCTTTCTTTGCAAATCATCATGTATCACTTCTTCACCAATAGGAGCATGACGTACTCACGTGATGCATGTGAATCCCTCTATACGCCTCTACCAAACTATCACTTCTTATTTGGCAGCACTTGTGCTTGGATGTGTTCTTTTGTTTGTTTCAAGTTTTACATATTAACTTTAGTATACTCACAAAGTAGTTTTCATTTAATTTACTTCCAAATATATTAAGACTGTTTCCTCACTTTAATTTAATCCCAGTTTATTACAGTTGCATTATTATTAATAATTTCGATTGTGGTTGATTCTTCTTGATTATGAATTCCAAAGTTCATGTTACCACTTTGGGGGTCACACCTGCGACTACTGGTATGTCACAGGCCTCCCAGTGGAAGATTTACCAGTGTTTATTTGCAGGGAGATTGAACTTTACGTGGGTCAGCTTTTATCTCAGGACTTCGCTCCACTTCCTTCCGAACATGCTGAGCCTGTTCAGGCTGACGAGGACTTGGATCACCTATTTCCACCTTCTGATTTGGATGTGCCTTCCCATGCACCTCCTGAGGAGTCAGCTTGGCCTACTACGGTCTTTTGTGATTTCTGATGCTTTATCCCTTGCTTTTATTTTCTGTGAACTGCATCCTTCCATATTACATGACCAATCTTCACATCCCTATTTGGTTTTTCCCCCTCCCCAGATATTAGAGTACACGCTGATCAGTTTGCCTAACAATTAAGTGATGGGATTAGCATGCCTCTCCCCCCATGGGTTAGCTTGCCACGTCCTTTCAGCTCCCTCATTTTCCGCTTGCAAGGTTCTATTGCTTTTAGGAATGTGGTCTTCAATAATGTCACTGGTACCCCTCGGTCATGCACATATATGGTCCCTTCAGTGGGCTCTTCATGATCAATGGAACCTTGCTCGGTATTTCTTGGCAGCTCCCATTACCCTTCCTCATACTCTGTTGGATGATCTGCTTTGGTGGTTGTACCGCTTCCTTCTTCTCGTCCGGATTTACATCTGTTCATGGATGCATCCCTTCAGGGCTGGGGTGCATGGGTCAGTCAACAAGAGGCTTCAGGTCCTTTGTCTGTCAACAAGCAGTCTTTGCATATCAATTCCTCAAGCTTCTTATGGTTAGTCTGGCATTGAATCACTTACTTCCTTTTGCCAAACATTGTCTGGTGATGATTCATTCTGACAATTCTATGGTGGCTTAGTTTCTCACATGGCTTTTTGACTGGGGTCTTCAGTCTCTTTGATTTTGGATTATCGGACTGCCTTATCCCATACCTTTTCCCAATACTATTAAGTTTTTGCTTCCCCTGTCCTTACCATGTTCATGCATTCTTTACAGATTCATCATCCCCCCCCCAGATGGCCTAGTCTTCCAGTCTGAGATATTAATGTGGTCCTCCATTCCCTCACTTTACCTTCATTTGAACCTATTTTCTCATGCTCCATGTTTCACCTTTCCCTTCAAACATATTAAGGACTTCTCTTAGCCTGTGGACATCGAAGATTTGATTTGTTTGTCATTGACGTTTCACTTACACTTTACCTCTATACATATCTTCTCCAATATCAGGATTGTTCCTTCCTCCTAAAGACCTTGGCAACTAGGGAGGATAACTTCTCTTTTTTGCCTGTTTTCCTTCATTCTATTTTTCATCTTTACCCCTGTCCCAATCCAGATAGACTTCTATGTCCAGTCCGTACCCTTCATTGCTATAATTCCCTCATGACTTCCTTCTGTGGTGCCCATTCCCAACTCTTTATCCCTTGGCAGTCTTCCTCTGTTCGTGATCGATCCCCTTCTACCCTCACCAATTGGGTTTGATGTTTGATTCAATTGGCATATTCTTCCTCATCTTCTTCCCACCAGACTTTGTTCAGGGTGTCTTCTCATCAGATACGACACCCCACCTTTTCCCTCACATCTAGTCTTCATTGGCTATTGGAGGAAATCCTACAATTTGGCATGTGGACTACACCTGATATGTTCATCTCCCATTATTTACACCATATCATGGTTTATTCTTCGTAGGGTTTTTGTCTTCCATCTGTGACCATTCTTCACGCTTCGATGCGACTTTGACTGGATAAGTCTATATTCATACATTCTTTTCATTTCAGGGCTCCTTGCTTCATTTATTCTTTATAGGGATCCCATTCTGTGTTGATTGGTGCTTGAACAGGTATTTTTCAATCAGAAATCTGCAGTGTACAGTCATGTTGACTCTCACTTTAACTTCCATGGCTTCACAAGATCACTTGTAGGTGAATAACCTTGCAATGTAATTGCTCCATAAACTTGTCTGCATGAGTAAAGCAGAAGGGGATAGTTTCCCATCCCCTGTGTGCCTTGTATTGAATAAATCAATATGGTCTGCTTTTCAAAATAGGGTTTTGTGGTCATTCATTGTACTATCTCAGGTGATAACATTCCTCTGGACTCTCCAACGTATTCTCACCCCTTTATTCTAGTGGAATATGGCAGTCCAGTTCCAAGCTGTTTAGGTGGTCGACCGTGGAGGCACCCTCCTCCCATTTAGTGCATAGAAGGGTGGTGGTGTTCTGCCGGTGTAGATGACATGATATCCCCATTATGCATTATACAATCACTAAGGAGTAAGACGTCAAATTGCAGTTCACTCATTCGATTGGGAGCCCTCATCATACTCCCATGTGGATGTTAGTAACCTGTGGCTGGGTTTTGGATTTAGAGTAGAACCAAACAACATACGTCCTCACACATGTTTATGGTTGTGTAAATTCCTTCCTCGATTATAGTCCTTCTGTGTTGTGGGTCACAGTGAAGGTAAAGGAAATTGTTCCAGTCTGTCCTTTTTGTTATCCCTCATATATCTTATTCCAAGGATGTTTTTGCTTTTTGGATAGTTCTGGTCAGTTTCACTGTTTGGGGAGTTGATTTATATTTAATAGACATTGGGTTCCCAGATCGATATTTATCAAAATTAACATGTATCATGTTCTGGATTTGAAGTGGTTCTAGATTCCTCTTCTGTCTCTTGAACTTGAGGTGAAGACAGTGGTATGATCCTCATCCTACCCTCACGTGGATGTCAGTTCCCAGCAGCATGGGTTTTGAATGTAGTTGACTTTCCGAGTACAGTCTGTCTCGCCCAAGCCACTCTCCACCTAAGGGCACATTCATTGATTTACCCACTTTCATACTGTGTGGGATTAATTACATATATATTTCAGGGTTAGGATCACTATCCTGCCTCAGTTCTCTTCCACTTGGATGTGCTTCTCTCTTTTTTTACCCTTATCTACTAGACTTCACGGATGGGCGAAGAGTATACCTTGTCAGAAGTGGTGCGGTTTCCCTCATCAGATCCTCAGGGGTATCCTTCAGATGCTTTTGGGGGATACTTCTGTCATTCCCTCCACCTAATCAATGTGGGATTCTAGCTAATCTTGTGAGGGAGAGAAGTACTGTATCAGAAGTTATAATTTTTCTATACTGAAAATGTATTTCCGATAGGTACTTTCCCTCCATTCACACTTCCCACCCTTCCTCCCCCACTTTCCTCCGGTTCTTACGTCTTCTGCCAAACTTCGAAGTGATAGTTTGGTAGAGACGTATAGAGGGAGTCACATGCATCACGTATGTCATGCTTCTACTGGTGGAGAAGTGACACATGATGATTTGCATGAGAGAACTGTTGGAATCATTTGATTCCAATAGGGGAGGGAGCAGAGAGCTTGCGACATACATAAAGAAAAAAAAGTTTGCATATAGAGGGCAGCACTGGGCGAGAATAGCTAACCTTGTGAGAAGAGAGAAGTACCTATTGGAAATACATTTTCAGTATAGGAAAATTATAACTTATTTTGAAAATCAAACTGTGTGGTTTCTTCCAATTTTTTACAGTACAGTGATGGGCTAGCAGATTTAAATGCTGCTGCTCACCATCGACCTCGCTCAGCCCTTATCCTCAATATTCAACAAGAGAATCGGCACATCCGTGAATTACAGCAGGAAAACCGAGAATTGCGTTCAATGTTGGAAGAACATCAGTCAGCACTGGAGCTGATCATGAATAAGTACAGAGAACAAGTGGCACGTTTGGCTCAGACCAGCAAAGATGAAGAAGACTGTATTAAGCAGAATAACTGTCAGGTACTTATTTGATATGTTGGTGAGATTAACATATAAGAATACATGTCATAGTAGCTGTTGAGCAGGATTTTGAGTAAAGCTAGGTATAACATCAAAGTTGTAATTCTTTTTTTTATAAAATTATAACTGTACCCGAGGTTGTAAGTTTGTTACAAAACATAAACATTCAAAAACAGCTAAAATGTGCATGTCATGTGGCTTTTCTACATGTTTTTACTGTCAACACAGAGAAGGGTAAAATGTGAAGTTATCCCTATATGTATAATGGGTAAAGGTCAAAATATGCATGTCATTATGTTTTTTTATAGAATTATATTCCAAATGAAATTAAACAACTTTATTATCGATGCATGCTAATAAACTTGGTATCAAAATGTAATTTATAAATTAAATGTTAATGTTTTAATTTGTTAATTTCAAAAGAAAATATTTTAATCTATTCTCAGTCTCCACTTCTCTAAATCATGTGACACTTCTTTGCTCCAAATTGACCATTGTAAGTCTTATTTCTACCTGAATATGATCATCAAAGTTTGTTACAAATTATAGACTTACAGCTATTGCTAAACCATAATGTATATTTATAGCCTTTGAGCTTCTTGCTTTACTGAGATATAAACAAGAAAGTTGAACCCACTTGCCCCTTCTATCGTATCATATGTTTTAAAAAAAATAGAGAATTCATTAATCGTTCTTTCTACTTGTTATAAATAATCCAATAACAAACATCAGAGAGAATTATTAACACAAGGTTTGTTCATTCTGACATGAGGTTTTGACTGACTTGGCCTCAGTTTCATTGTCTGTTAATCTGGAGATCCACTCGACCAGCTAATGAAATGTTTAACATATTTATAGTTCAGTTAGAAAGCCAGTTAAAATTATATTACCTTTAGAACATTCTATTTTTTGTGAATGATAATATTTCATGTTCTAAATTGCATATTGAAATAAACAAACTTATGCGTTACTAACATCATTACAAAAAAGTCGGGTCACATTTCATTGGGGGTCCCAAGAACAAAAGACAAATATGTTTTTGATTTATTGTTAAAGTTACAAAAATGAAAAATTAGAAATGTATTAGGTTAGATAAGAAAATTTAAATGAAACAAAAGTTAATAAGTTACTCGTGATAGCACAAGTACATCACGAGGCATGATTGTATGATTTGAGTTTACTTGTTGGTAACTCGATTGTTTGTTTACACAAAGCTGTCCTCCTCGATTAAATAGCTTTCTTTGTACTTTCACAAGGTCAAAGTGCAGCTGTAAAGCAATAAAACAAAATGAACCTAGATTTGAAAAGGTCTTTTAATATTACTTGTAAGAATAAATAGCGTGTAACTGTCTGTTACAATATGCAGTCATTCTAGAAGAAAAAAAAGGTACTTTAGATTTATTTCTTAATGTTTCCACTTTTTATATTATTATTTATTGCTGATTTCACTACAGTTGGTGTTAGGGTAGAGAAAATAACACATACAAAGTTTTACTAAAAAAACATTTATTGTAAGAGGTTATGCAAATGGAATATGAAAACTATAAGAAGAAAAAAAGTATTCTTAAAATTAAACTCACCTTGCACTCAGATTAGTGAGAGCAATTTCATAAATTCCCAGATAAATATTTAGTAAAAATACTTTATTAAAAAATTTGATTTTTTGTGTACAACATACTTGTACTGCTTACTAAAAGCTTGCCACATTTTGTGAAGATACGTATAGTAAATTCAGAATTATAGTAAATATTATTATGTATAGCTTCACAGAAATGGAGGTTGGCCTGTAATGCTAAAAACTGGGTTTCAATACCCATGGTGGGCACAGACAGATACTCCATTTTGTAGCTTTGTGATTAGCAACATATAAAAAAAAATCAATTCCTCAATGTCACACATGTAGGATTAACATATTGCATCCCACATTTCAGTCAATCATTGTGTGCAGTCCATGCTTGAAGAATAACTGAAACTATGCTTTCCTGTTTATACCTATTATAGACATACTCAAGAAAGACAACAGACAACTTCAGAGAAATGTTTTTTGTTTACATTTTACCCTACATTTTGGTTTAAGCCTTTTTCAAGGGTCTTTTGGTGTTGCAGGTTACAAAATTGATTTGAAATTATAGCAACCAAAAATAATACAAAACTACAACAATATAAGGTATTGTTAAACAAGTTAGAGTCATTGATCATGGTAATAAATGTAAATAATGAAATAAAATAAAAGGGCATTTAGATTGAATCAGAAAAGGTTCCTTCAATTTCCTGTCAAGAAATTATGCTTTGTGAGAGGATATAATGTTGGTGGCTTTGTTGCTATGAAGATTAACAGTAGCATGAATATTTTTTAAAGCTTTCATGTATTGGACAACTAGATTTACCTGTGTATATAACAGCTGAGGCCCGGCATGAGGGTCGCGGGTTTGAAACCCCGTCACACCAAACATGTTTGCCCTTTCAGCCGTGGGGGCGTTATAATGTGACGGTCAATCCCACTATTCGTTGGTAAAAGAGTAGCCCAAGAGTTGGCAGTGGGTGGTGATGACTAGCTGCCTTCCCTCTAGTCTTACACTGCTAAATTAGGGACGGCTAGCGCAGATAGCCCTTGTGTAGCTTTGTGTGAAATTCAAAACAAACAATCAAACAAAATATAACAATTGTGTATATATTTTGTAGACAATGTTTTTAAGTGTGCAGGGTTTCTCTAAGTCATTGTTCTTTGCAAAGGACTTTTTTGATTTGCATAGACTGTTGTTGTTAAAAGCTGAGTAAATATATCCTTCAGTTTTGTCTCTCAATTTCTATATGATATGGATATTCACACCAGAACTTTTAATCACCTGATGGATAGTTAAAGGTTTTTTAATGGAAAGCATAACCTATGCAGCAGGTGGTTTCTTTTCTTGGCTGTTGTTGTAAGACTTAAGTGAATCAAATTTATGAAATGTCTTAATAATTTTGTTATAGGGATAGCCATTAGATGACAACCTGGATTGTATTTTATCATAATTGGTGTTGCAGATTTTTCTAATTCAAGTTCACTGTTAATGAAACCCTATTTAGTAGGTGGTGGATGTTGTGAGTCATAGTGTAGAATAATTGGTCTTAATGTAAGGCTTAGAATATATGGTGGTAATAAATTTGTTGTTTTTATTAGTATCAGGAAAGGGTATAGACTTCCAGACATTATCAGTATGTTCAAGTCTGAGCTTTGTTTTGGAGGGTTGATTACACAGGCCTGCAATGCTTTTATTGTCTTGAAATTTTTACATATTCTACAGTAATTCCTGTACGTTGAATCCAAAAATGATATCCATTTTTCTCCATCATGAACAGATTTTTTACAAACCATCATAATGCAATACATAAAAAAAAGACCACAACACTAGTTTTGAGACTAAAAGATGTAGACTTCACAAAAAAAATCAGGGTGACTGAGGATGCATATTCGTTTGACATCAGTGTTCTTCCATTTTCAATTTGTTTGTACTTTTGTTAACAGACATATTAAAAAATATTCATTGGGGAAAATTAAATAATAATTTGATCTAAATATGTTTTATTTTCTTCTTGATTTGTAAAACATCCTTACGTGACAGAAAAAAATGAACATTATTTTTGAAATCTGCATAACTGAATTATGGAAAATACATTATTGAAACCAAAACAGTTTTTATGAAGTTTAAATTCACAGGCCTATGTCATTAAAGAATTCAAAGAAGTCCAGAAGAGGGGGAAGTCCATGATTCCATATGTTGATATAGTGGTTCAAGGTTACCTTCAAAATTTCTCCGAGTAAGTGCTGAAGATACAAAGAAATACATAAAAATAGAAGCCAAAATAACAGCAGCATTTAGTATCCAATGCAATATCTTTGGTTTATTTATAGAGGGTTAAACAGAATTTAAAGTAACTGTCATTTAGAGCAAACCTGAGAGAATTTTTGATGACTTCTATAGGGAATTCATTGGTTGTAAAAAGGGGAGGATTAAATCTAATAAGATTCATAACTGAGATCATATTTTGTTCTATGGGAATGGAAGGGTACATAGAGATGACATTGAAAGTAAACAGAATCATGTTCAAATTGATTTGTTTAACCATCTTTGCATAACATGTTGAAAAAGTCATTGGTGCTATTTACGTGTGAAAGGATTTTGTTAAGAAGAGGGTGAAGTAGCTTTTCATGCAGCCAAGATACAGAGGCTAACGGAAAATTGTGTGTGGACTATGAATCTTAATAGTGTGTCAGACTTGTGATCTTTGGATAATCCATATAGTTCAATGGGTTTTGAGTGAGATGGTTTTAGATTGTCTGATAGTTAGGTGGATATATTAGTTTTATTTCTAAAGTTATTTTAAATGTCTTTACCATCTTTTTATTTGTTTTGTAGGATGTCTAGTTAGTGGTTCTTAAGTAGATCTAAGTAGTTCATTTATAGCTAACCATTTGTTTGTTCAAAGATTGTATTTGACGTGGTAATTCCTAATGTTCCTCTTTTGGTACTAAAACATGTTCTGGAGAAATTGTTTAGCTACTGGAGAAAGATTAAATTGTTATTCATTCACATTATTATTATTATTATTGCAGTTAGATATGTCTATACTGGAAGAAAAATATTTCTTTTATAAGCATTGATGAGGATATAAATCATTATCAATAGTTACCTTGTCAATAAGTTGACCTGAAATAGCAAAATTAGAGCCTTTGGAGAGGGTGAAAATGTAGTCCTTTGAAAGTTTTAGGTTGTTTAGAATTGTAATCTTGTTCAAATGAAGGTTGTCAGAATTATTTGTAGATGTTATGACTGAGCAGGCTTATAAAGTGCAACGAGCTTCAGAGGATGTCTCTTTTGGTAGCTAACAACCACCCAAAACTGTTTATAATAGTCTAGTAGGCAAGACTAACAAAAAAATTTTTTACATTACCAGCAGCTGTTTCCTGCTGCATGTTTTTTTACCAACAAACATATTCATTGTTTGTAGGCTTGGATGACAACAGATGTTTCTGTAAAGTCAATCAAATAGAAACACTCTTTCTTAATGATTCTCTTTCTCAGTGATATCTTCTATCATGCTTCTTAAAAAGTCAAAGAAGTCCTTGCTCTTACCCATTGTCTCGTAAACTGACTGCAATGTGACATTACCTCCACATTTATAGAATTCAAACAGTTACTTGACACATAACATGGTCAGCCTGTTTTTGTTTTTGCCAGTGGTTTTCAAACTTGAAGCTGCCGTACCACTTTTCAAATTTAGTACTAAGTCTTGTAACCCCACAATTCCGACAATGAAAATATATGTATATTATTTCATCTTAGTAATTATTATTTGTACGGCAATCAAGGAGTATTTTTTGTTTTCTTTCCTTTGTTTTGTTTTATATTTCCCATTTCGTTTGGTGTACCCACAAGGGTATGAATACCACAGTTTGAAAAACACTGGCTTATGCCAATAATTGGATTATTGTTTTACAGATATATGTGTGAGGAGGTCCTAAAAAATAGTCAATCAATGTGGTAGAGGAAGATCAACACTAATTTGATTACCAAACCTAGATCAGGATGTATACAGTCAGGGAAAATATGCTTAAAGTTAGGGAATTTTTTCTTAAGTCTTTTTTTTTCTAGCCAGTAATCACTAACAGAAATGTATTGGCTAACAACAATTTCTAGTATATAAGCTTTATAATTCT